ATGATTTGTCACAACAGCAGTGGAAAATACATATGGCACTTGACCTGTTCCCTAATTGATAAGAGTGATCCACTGTCCCTCACCTGTTTGCATAAATGTCATTTATGCTGAACACCTGCTTTCCTTCTGAGACTCTGGAATTTGGGTACGTGCTAGGTAGAGGGTGCCTAGTGACCATTTTCCCAGTTAAACACAAACACACACATACACACCCACACACAATCTTGGACACTGAGTGAGTGTCCTTGGGCAAAAACATCCCCTCCATATTGTGCCTTTCCACTAGGGAGGAAGAGCTCGCTCGGTAACCGCCCTCACAGCAGCCTCAAGACCTCACCTGTATCTTTGTTGTTGCTGCTCTTGTTGCTCTTCTTGTTTATCTGGCTGCTGCACTAAACCTTAGCTATGACTACAGTTAGATACTGAGTCCCTGGAGTCCTTCCATCGAATTTGGTGGACGTGTGGAGGGTCTTGGGAACCCCAGAAATGATGAGAGATGGCAGGCCAGGTTTTGAGTGACCAGTAAGTTCCAAAGTGCTACAGCGGATGTGATCTGAAGGCAGGCCTTTACATTCCCGTCTTACTCTGGGTTGGTGACTGGCGGCTGGGACCCCACACAACTGGCTTCCCTGTTGCTGAGCCGCGGTGGTGTTTTCCAGAGCAGAGGAGGAGGGGGATTCAAATGGGAAGGGCCTTGATCCACCACCGTGGAGGCACACCTGCTCCCTCTGGCGGCCCGTGCCTTTCAACAGTTGGAGCCAGAGACCGGGACGTGCCATTCAGTGATGAGTAGAGCAGATCTCCTTTGAAGTAGCTGGTGGCACCTCCTGCTAGATGTAAAGGTTCAATTCTGATAGGCCTTCAGACCAGGCGATCTTGAGCAATGCCACTGTCGGAATAGTGCATACACTCCTCCTCGAAATATGTCCTAAGCGCAGAAGTTTTTCCAGAAAGCATCTGTCTGAACAGTAAAATCTGGTGGCCCCCGCTCGATTGTCCTTGACACTGACTGCGTCTATTCCTGCAGAACCCTCCTGGAGGAGAGGCAGAAACTCCACATGAAGCTGTAGTTTGGGACAAAGAAAGCTACGTCTCTTGTGATCTCTCTTACTTAACAAGACATCCCCCAAACTGTATCCCTTGGCTTCCCCGAGAGCGGGTCCCTAAGCCTCCATGAAAATTTACAACTACAAAGGGAAAGTAGCCAGCTTAACTTGTCCCTTCATTCGTGGCTTGAGGCACCAAGCTAGCCGCTGGGGCATACAGTGATAAACCAGACAGACATGGTCCCTGCCTCTATGAACTGTCCAGCCTAAAAGAATCCTCCCATCTGGCATTACTGGTTAATAAACATGGACTTTAACAGAGTTAGACAGACCTAGATCGTCAGCAGTGCCTGGACCATATCTACAACCTATTGCTAGACAGGAGGGGACATGGGATTTGAAGCACACATGCTTAATATCCTCTCCCTAGCCACAGAACTGTGCCCTTTGCCCTATTCGGCCTCTTCTGAGTAGGCTTTCTAAACTTCTGGAACCCCTGCATCAAGAGTGCTGCCTCCCTAAGGTGGGAAGCAGAACTCAGCCTAGCTCACACCTAGGCTCCGCCCAGCAGATGTTCCCCATCAAGACTTTGAGTCAGGAGAGAGACAAGTGAGGAGATGATTTTCCAATGGAATCCACACCTGGTGAAAATCATAAAGCATGACTAGAGACCCCACGTTCTCATAGGCAGTTACAGTAGATGTCCTAATGGCACAGTCCTGGGGTTCATCTCAGCAGTGCCTGTCCTTAGAGTAGGTGGGATCGCATCGAGCTCTAGCTGTCTAGCCCCCAAGCCAGATGCTGTCCCCTGCTGGAGATTTTCTGGAGCTCTACCCAATAACCATTAACAAAAATCCCTTTTCTTCTTTTTTTAAAAAGATTTTACTTATTTGAGAAAGAGCGAGAGCGTGCACGTGCATGCACAAGCGGGGTGAAGGGTAGAGGGAGAGCGGGAACCCTGACACAGGGCTCAATCCTGGGACTCTGGGATCAGGACACGGACCAAAGGCAGACACTCAACCAACGAAGCCACCAGGCACCCCCCAAATACCTTTTCTGCTTCAAGAAGCTAGAACAGTTTCTCTTGCTTGCAACTAAGACGTCTGATGGATAAAGAGAGGTCCCAAAACAAACAAGAAGCAGTCGATGTACCATTTCTCCTTGACACTGTCAGGGCTGGGGATCTGGATCTGAGAGCAAAGATGAGCAGAGTAGAGGACTGTAAGACTCATCTAGCTATTTATAAAGTCTCACCTGCCTGTTTATAAAGTTATTTATTCACATAAACTCTTTTTCTATTTTAAAAGCCATAGGTTGCCCGCTCCCCCCAAAAATAAAAAAAAATAATAAAAGTCATAGGTTCACCACCCCACTGGGGCCTGAACTCACTCACTCACCTACAGAGACCCTGGAGGACAAGCCTTACCGGTATGCATACTCCTGCATGTCACATACTGACCACAAGATGGCGAAAGAGATTATCACATCAAGCCAGCCTGTCTCCCTCCACACCATTTTTACACTGAAGAGAACATTTATTGAGCACCTACTGTATGTCAGGAACTGTTCCAAGAGCTCTAATGGGTTATCACTTAATCATCACAATCTTCCTATGAAATAGGTACCACTTCATATGTGAGGAAACGGAGACACGGACAGATCTGCTCACCTGTCTCTGGCTCATATTGACATATCGTTTCTCCATTATACCGTCCGAGATAGCATTTTCTATCCAATATACCATTTTCTATCATCTGTATCTAAATATCAATTTATCATCTAGACCTTGTTTTTATAAGATTTTCTTTTCAAGTAGGTCCTGTGCTCAAAGGGGGGCTTAAACTCCTAACCCCGAGATCAAGAGTCGCACAGTCCACTGTCTGAGCCAGCCAGGTGCCCCTCATCTCTATCTTTCAAGTTCAAGTTTTCTTCATTATAAAAGTAATACAAGTACATGGTAAAAATGGTAATGACTGGCAAAGAATTTTAAAGTCCTCTCTCCTCCCTGCCCATGATCCTAGTTCCACTGCCTGGGGATAACCACTGTTAGTTTCTTGGGTACCCACCCGTAAATTCTCATAGATATGAAAATTGGCTACTCTCGATATTGATAGAAAATGAATATGCAAGCATATTTTATACATATATTCTAGACACACACACACACACACACACACACAGAGCATCATATCCCACACAGTGTTCTACAGCATCAATCTTTGCTTAGCATTTCATCTTGGCCATCCAGATGCAGGCCAGGGCTGCTTTGGGCTGAGGAGCTCATTTATGGGCCCTGGATGCAACAGTGGCTGCACTCCCATGTGCAGGAAAGAGCAAGTAGGCCGCACTGGAGCCCCAGGTGACAGTGAGCTCTGGGGAGAAAGGCTGTTGATCAGCTGCAGGGAATGGGGACATGTGACCCAGGGTAAGGGAAGCCAGTGGGTGGTTCTCAGGCAGGTTGGCCCATACCTCTGGTGGATCTTGGCCTCTAGCCCTGGTCCTCAAGAAAATTCAGACTTGGATACAGCCAACACTCACAGGGCCTTTGGAACAACAGGCCTAGTTCTCGCCTTTGCACACTGCATTTTTTAAAAATCTCACTTAGTCGGTGTGGAATCCGTTTAAGGTAGGAATTCTCTCCATTTTACAAGCAAAAAGGCTGAGACTTAAACAGGAGCCGTGGTTTTAAGAAGTAGAACCAAGGGCCAAATCTGTTCTTTGATTCTCTTTCACAGCACTGTCCACACTGCACTTCAGCAAAGGCTGCTGGGGAGAGATTACCTTGTACACCAACACTATTCCTGGAGAACAGGCTTTGCAACACCTTGTACAACCCTGATCTTCCTCCCCCATCCTTTCCCTCGTCCATGCAGCTTCCCCCAGCACTGCGGGGCCAGGGACTGAGGAATCGCCAAGTCCAGAAACATCTCTGGGGCTGCGAAATGGCCCCTCAGAGGCCAGGTCCTGAGGAGCAGTCAGAGACCATGATAGGCCATCATCTCCACAGCTGAGCCTGCCCCCAGCCCCGTGCCAGGCTCCCCTCCCACCCCGGGTTCTGCCCCTCCCGAGAAGGACGAAGCCCCAGAGCCATTCTGGGGACAGGCCTGGACCTCAGATCCCGAGGGGCCAAGCTCCCAAGGCTGCTGGGTCCGAGGAGGCACGTCCCTTTGCCCATCTTATCGGCGCTCTGCGGAATCTGTGCCTGCCCCTCACCTCCTCCTCAGGCTCCCAAGGCCGTGGGCGGGGGGCGGGGGAGGGCATGAGGAAGATTTGGCAGTCAGCCTTCTGGCCCAGGGAACTCTGAGCAGCCCGGGGGCAGCGGGAGGGACAAGGCGCCACGAGGCTGAGCCTACTGCCCGCACCTCCCCTACAGCTGAGAAAGGGGAAGAAACCGCCCCAAGCCCCTTGAGGCTGGCAGAGCCCCAGGGCAGGGAGGGTGGGCAGCAGGTGGGAGTTGGGGAGGGGCGGGGGCGGAGAACAGCGTCGGTAGTGGAGCTGCTGGCAGGGTAGGGGCAGGCCTGGGTCTGGGGGCCTCGGAGAGCTCCTGCCCGCAGAGCTGCTGGCCCTTGGCCAAAGTGGCCACAGGTGCTGGTCCCAGGGAGTCAGGACAGAGCTGGAAAGGAGACAGCCAGTGTTCAAAGATCGAGAAGAGGGTGTTCTAGGAAGAGTCCATTCCCTGAGTCCTGGGATGGCTGGCCTTGGCCCGGTACACACGGCCTGGCTCGTGGGGCCGTGCTGGCTGAGTATACCCTAGCGGACTTCTGCTTGCTTAGCACTGGACATGGCCCTGCAGCCTGGCCCCTTCCTAAAAGGGAGGAGATGGTGCCTGGGCCTCCGGGGGTTAGTGTCAGGAATTGGTTGTCAAGAATTAGGAGCCCTGGGCTCCTGGGTGGCTCAGTCAGTTAAGCGTCTGCCTTCTGCTCAGGTCATGATCCCAGGGTCCTGGGATCAAGCCCCACATCAGGCTCCCTGCTCCACGGGGAGCCTGCTTCTCCCTCTCTCTCTCTCCCCCTGCTTGTGTTCCCTCTCTCGCTGTCTCTGTCAAATAAATAAATAAAATCGTAAAAAAAAATAATTAGGAGCCCTGAAGGAGGATAGGACGCCTGCTTGCCGTCAGGTTGCCTCTATGTTGGTTCTGCCAGGGTACAGGGAGAGTTAAATCCCCTTAGATAAAGTAGACAGACAGGGGGTGCCATATGTTCCATGCTCTGGGGTTTTGTACTACACACCACAGATGATGGTAGGAGGGGCAGAATGACACAAGCTAAGGACCCAGAGCTGCCCTGCTGCCCCACCTTCCTAAGCCAACTCTTGCTTCAATTCCCTGAAGCACCCCAGCATCCTTGCTGTAAATCCCTGCCCTTTAGGTCTGCAATGAAACCCTCAGATTGGTTTCCTGTGGTCATGAGGTACTTAGTTTAGGGCACCCTTCCCACCCAGCTGGCACTTCTCTCCTGTGCCCACATGACAGACATGGAAACGGAGTATGCTGTCCAGGCTGTACTAGATTTCCTTGCATCTAAATAACAATCCAGGACCAGGTGATCGACTGGGAAGGATAAATGTCTGAAGGAAGGACTGGAGTCAGTGCTAGGTCACCCTGATGGCCAAATAAGGGACCTCTGGCAAGGAGGAAGAGATCATTAGGAACATTTTGATAAGTGAATTTGCTATTCAAAGAAACAGCAAAACCAACATCATGGAAAAAAACAAAAATTTTACCATCAATATTTATTTTAGACAGGGAGAAGGAAGAGAGAGGTAGAGAAGGAGAGGGAGAAAGAGAGCACACACACAGAGGAGGGGCAAAGGGAGGGAAAGAGTCCTAGAGCAGACTCTTCGCTGAGCACAGAGTGTGGCCCTGGGCTCGATCCCACAACTCTGACATCACAACCTGAGCCAAAATCAACAGTCGGATGCTTAACCAACTGCACCACCCAGGTGCCCCATTGTACCATCAATTTTTTTTAAAGATTAGTTACTTGCCTGAGAGAGAGAGGAGGGAGAGAGAGCACACACACAAGCAGGGGGAGTCGCAGGCAGAGGGAGAAGCTCCCGCTGAGCAAGGAGCACAATGCGGGACCTAATCCCAGAATCCTAGGATCATGACCTGAGCTGAAGGCAGACGCTTAACTGATTGAGCCACCCAGGTGTCCCTACCATCAATTTTTTTATCATGAAATACATATGGTAAATGGGAAGGAGGGCATTCCATAATCTTTTCAAGGCTCAGAGCCTCTAAGGATCTTAATGTGACCCCGGCAGAATGTCTCCATTATCTGTTCATCAGGCCTGGTTGCACCTTGGCCAAGGAAAGGAAGCAGATAAGAGTTGTGGTTTTTCCCATTAGGGGTTCATGTGTACCCTTTGGAGCACAAGATGGCTCCAAAGTAAGTGACTATAAGCTTCTCTTTAAAAATACTTCTCAGGGCACCTGAGTGGCTCAGTTGGTTAGGCGACAGCCTTCAGATCAGGTCATGATCTTGGACTCCCTGGATCGAGTCCCACATTGGGCTCCCTTCTCAGCAGGCAGTCCGCTTCTCCCTCTGACCCTCCCCCCCCATGCTCTCTTTCTCTCCTTCTCTCATTCTTCCTCTCAAATAAATAAAATCAAAAAAATAAAAAATAAAAATACTTTTCTGGGGCACCTGGGTGGCTCAGTCAATTAAGTGTCCAACTCTTGATCTCAGCTCAGGTCTTGAGTGCAAGCCCTGCAATGGGCTCCACGCTGGGCATGGGGGCCTACTTAAAAAAATAAAAATAGGGGCGCCTGGGTGGCTCAGTGGGTTAATGCCTCTGCCTTCAGCTCGGGTCATGATCCTGGAGTCCTGGGATCGAGCCCCACATCGGCTATCTGATCAACGGGGAGCCTGCTTCCCTTCCTCTATCTCTGCCTGCCTCTCTGCCTACCTGTGATCTCTCTCTCTGTCAAATAAATAAATAAAATCTTAAAAAAAATAAAAAATAAAAAAAATAAAAATAAAACAAAAATCTTTTTCCAATCTAATAGCGGATCTTTATCATTTTAGAAAAACAGATACAGTCACCGTCAAAATTCAAAAACTGGGGTCCCTGGGTAGGCTCAGTCAGTTAAGCAACTGTCTTCAGCTCAGATCATGATCCTGGAGTCCTGGGATCCATTCCCACATCAGGCTCCCTGCTCAGTGGTGTCTTTCTCCTTCTCCCTCTGCCTCTCCCCATTGCTTGTGCTAATAAATAAAAAAAATCTTTTTTAAAAATTCAAAAATCATACAAAGGTATAAAAGGAAAAGTAGAAGTCCCCAGTCTGCTTTCTAATCTTACCTCTTCCACTTAGACAGAAATTCCTCCTTCAGTCCTCCAATATTAGCCTTCCCACATTACTGTGGAAAGGTATCCCTAGTCCTATCCAAGGCCACCTCCTCCGTTTGTGCCTGGATCCCATCCCTATGGCCTTATCAAGGTCTTCCATCCT